ATGCTTTGAGCCAGCAGTGAATCATCCCTGGCAGGTAAGAATGATGTTAATTTATGACATGCCAAGCGCAAGCAGATCTTTTGGTGTCAGTCCAACGGTTTTAGTCTTATTAACACACGGCGACGGCTCAGGTTGCAGCTGTGCACATTAAACTCTGGCAAGTGGCATTTTAAACAATGACAAACTTCAGAACAATCACTCCACACATGGAACCGGGCCAGGCCAAACTGCAGGGTGGCAGAATAAAGGTCAGGAAGGTGACCTGTTTGTCTGGGAGAGGAACAGGTGGCCCGCTTGGGTTGCTGCAGGGTCTTTAAACTGTCTGAAGGACACAGTCATGGATCATTTTAACCCATTAAGCTGCTTAAGCCTTCCTTTACACTGGTTTGAACTTCAAGAGAGTATTAAATCTTAAAGAGCTTAGTATACATCTTCAGGAAAGCTCTCCCCTGTGCTGATGCACTCACGGTGCCCATGCTGCACTGTGGAATTGCACATCCTTGCTTTGACAGCAACACCCCTCGGGCAGCTGAACCAGATCCACGCAGCTGAAAAGCAGGAAGCTTTAAACTAAAAGCGTTGCACCTGAGCAGCAACTCACACTGGGAAACAGGGAACAAGGGGGAACACGTTACCCCGTCACCACCATGCTGCTCCACGGGCCTGAGGATGCTGCTTTTCAGAGCCACAGAAGACGGGTCAGAGAGGAAAACATCCCATTGGTTCCTCCCTCTCCAGCCTCCCAAGGGGCATGGAGCTAACAGCAGTTGCTGATACCCCACGGCAGCCTTGGGTTGTGTCTAGGGAACTCAAACCACATCCAGCAAGGAGGGCTGCCTAAGAGAGTGGCTTCTGAGTGCAGCTTCTAACCTTGACACCTGGGCAAAGTTAGTCCAAACCATTTTTGCCAGCTGCATTTTCATCAGAAAATGTGATGGTGGAGACATAAAAGACATTTTCACAGCAGAAAACTTAAATATTCCAAGACATGTTTCAAAGCTGTACTTCTCAATTTGAAATATTATATCAAAATAAATTTTTTTGAAGTGTCAAAAGACAGATGTTTCAGAATAAATCAGTAGAATAAGATCTGACACGTAACGATGTTTTCCAATACAGTGCTTCCAAAGAAGTTGTTTTCAGAAGTTTCATATTTCTCCCCAGTCTTATCCTTGTGAGTAGAATTTTTATTTTCCAACCAGGTACTTCCCCCAAAAAAGATTTTTAAACAATAAATCAGAACTTGTTAAATTAATGCAAGGATTTAGCTACACGAGATCTGATCCAGAACAGATCAGGGTCTGAATTCATAAAGAAACGTTATTTCAGATTTAAATACCAGGTGTGTGGATGTACTTATTCCCAAATGAAATTAAAGGAATTAAATTCTTTCATAACAAGGCATATTTATTCTGGAATAGGAGCATCCACATATGAAATTAATCAAGAATAGCTAAAGCCACAGTAAGGTCTCAGGCTACTGACTGTAAATGAAAACAGTAAATTCATTCTCCCTTTTGCAGCTTCCTACTACATAACACACTAGAACCCCCTGGATAAATGTTCCTGTAAGTAAAAGACTAGTCACAGCACGTCTGTGAACAGCTCATGCTAATACTTCAATGAGATGGACTGGAATCAATATTTTTCATCTTTGCAGCTTGGGGCCAGAGCAGCGAGCTGGGCAAGGATGTCAGACAGCGAGCCATCCACCGTGGCAGGGGGGGGAACTGGCTCAGCCATGACCTGGAAAGAAATTTCTAGCTAGTAGGTATCATTTCCTGTACCATTTGAGCTTCCTTGAGGGAGGAGAGAAAAATGAGATAATTAATTAGAGGTTTTCAATTCAAACCTTCTCCCAGGTATGCTTATAGGAAATAGACATAAGTTTGGCTACAGTTTAGATAGAGCTACTGGAGAAATTTGAGCCCCTGTTTCATAAAGGAGGCTTTAGAGCCAGGATTAGATACTGCTAGATCTAAAAATCTGATACGAAGTTCTGATTTAATATAAATGAATCCATTAATTTAAGTTAGATGTCCTCTATTCATCTGCAGCCAGAACAGACTGTATATTTCCCATCTAGATAATTTTACAGAAATGTGATTAGGTGCTTTTGCATGATGAACAAGCCTGGGTCCCTGTGCAGGTAACACACTACTTTAATCTTAGTGAAAATGGGACCACAGCAAGTTTGTGTGCCGACCAAAGAAGGCAATGAGGACAGAGAGGAAAGCAGGGCTGCTATTTGCAACTCTACAGGAAGAAAAACAAAAGAGGTATTACACTGTGAGAGTAATGAGTGTATCAGTAGAAGTATAAAATCAATCTTGATTCTACAAAGATGTAAGATACAAACTAACTCCCTATTGTGGCAGTTACTCAGTTTTTATAGAAAAAAAAATATATAGAACAGTAAGGTGTGAATATACACAATAATTAATCCTGCCACTTTTAGACATGGGGTTCTCTACTGCCTGCACAACTTCCTGTTTCTCATCCTACTTTAAAAGGAGCACTTACCTAGAATTCATATAGAAGATTGCTAGCCCTATTCCAAGCTAGGCTTTCTAAAGAAAGTTAAAGCTGTTTTTCTTGTAATTCTTCTCTTCATTTATCATGTACATTGATTTGGCTTTTTGCAAAATGAAATTAGAGAGCAAACAGAGACAGGGCAGAAGCAAAGGCAGCCAAATTCAAGTCCATGCTCAGACTGTTTAAAAACTTCAGTGCCAGTGAAGCAATCACAGTGATCACAAACTGACCCAAGAATATTCAGCTTGATTCTTCTAATTGCTTTAACAATAAAAATCAATAGTTAGAACTGTAAAGTATAAAGGAAACATAATAAGGCTGATATAGTAACTACAAGTGCAGAATTACAGAAGCCAGAAAATGGATCAACAAAAGCAGAATGGGGCATATCTGATAATACCTTTAGTTAATAGTTGTCCCTAGAAGGAACACTGGTTATCTTTTTAAACCTTTTTTTTTTTTTTTTCACAAGATCTAAGCAACACTGTCAGTATCTTCAGACCGTATCTCCATTTTATCACGGATTACATGACCTAGCTTCTTCTCATGCTTAAACAAAACATTAGTTTTCCAGTGGATCTTACCTGCACCAAACTGGAGTTTAACAATGCATTTTTTGCTTTCTTACTAGAATAATGATTCACTGTTATAAAAGTGCACGTAGAGAACGTTCATAGCACCAATCGATAAACACACACAGTATTGCATTTTACATTACAAGAAGGCTTTCTCAATTGATCTGAAGAAAAAAAAAATGTAAACCTTGTAACTTCATGAGGTTCACAGAAAAAGACAGCAGAACACCTTCAAGGCATCGGTCCTCATACTGCAGCTGTAGCCATATTTAGCAACAGATCAGCCATCCATGACTGACAGCTATCTTTGACAGAAAGAGCCAGTCAATATTTACATTCCTCATGAACATACAAAAGAGCATCAGGGTACTTGAGAAATTAGCCCTTGATTGCCACTTGGAAGGCATCATCAGAAAGTCAAATCACTTCAGCACCTCCAACAACAGAACTGCTTTCATTCTTGAGACTGAAGATCTCACAGATGTGTCAAGGTCTTTTGCCTGGGAGCGGGAGATGTCTGAAGGGCAAAATGAGTGCTGAAAAAGCACGCTATGAGGGTTTTATTGTCAAAAAGCAAGCATTTGGTCAACTCTTGCTCTCTTTCATGCTGAAGCAGCAGTCACAAATCTAATAGTTATAAAATGGCCACTCCCAGGCTCCTGAGCCAGCTGCAGGGAATACAGGTAGGATTCTTCAGTGCAGAATGGAGAGGGCTCTACTGTAATATTCAGTGATCACTGAAGTTGGGGGGACACAGATGCAGTGGTTCAATTCGACTCTCAAGTTCTCAAAATGTCACAACATAGAACAGCCCTAAATCTTGGCTTAGAAGTCACAAAACATCTAGTCCCTTTCCAAGCGAGATCTCAGATCCTCTCATTTCCTGCATACAATAGCATTATTCAGCCACTGAAGTTTCCACTTAGCTTGCATTTATGCCAAGTACTTTTAATTGCAAAGGAAAAGGATGTTAAGCTCTCCCATTTCTTTCTTCCTAATTCATAAGGGAGACAACAGAAGTTGGTAAAAGTTATAGGTTAAGGGTTGTTCTCCCCTCCATCTCACTTAAGGGACTTGCATCCTCCTTCTGCTGCCTCACAGAGGTTACCTACACTGCAAGGGTAAAAAAATTTATGTCGTCTTTTGTAAAATACTAAGAGGGCAAGTCATTGTAAACTTACTAGCAAAGAAGCATTAGGGAAGTCTGAATGGTATCTTATAACGGATGCCTTGAAGGGTTTACTGATGTTCAGAGTCACCTTGACCAATGTAGGTCTCATTTAAGAATAGATATGCAAGTATTTACCCAATACACATACAATAATTCAGCCAGCATCTAACTCAAAGAACTCATCAGAACAGATACAGAGTAACAGCTCTGACTGAAGCAAAATGCTGCACAGCAAGGAATGAAATAACTGGAAAAACAGATGCTTAATTTCTACTTATTTTTGGCAACCTTGTTCCTATGATATCTGTTAGATGAGGGGAAAAAAAGCTGCTGAATACTGCTTAGCAAAAAAATACATGAACCACAGCCACATCTATGGACTATCAGGGTAGCACTTAATACAGCCCTACTGAATGTTATTTTTCTTTTGATCAATCCATAGAAAGATCTAAAGTAATGTTTCCGTATGGGGTTTGTTCCTATTATGCAAGATCTGGTGAACTATGTTTTCTGAGACAAAGAGATGAAGTGAATTGAAGTGGTGTTTCGGACTTGGTAGTGTTTTAAGAAGTGTCTTCACCCCACCTCTTCAGCCTTGGGACATGAGACTTATTAGCTAATTACTATGCAAATTAACTGAAATTTAAATTAAATGCTACATCCTAACATAGCTTAACAGCCCCAGGACCAAGAATTTAGTTAGCTTTAATGGACTGTAATTCTATCCAAAAATATAGTTTATTAACAAGCACATACAATAAATTGCACCGCTAACTTTAAATAAAACATCTAGCAAGCTCACCTTCACACTAAGTGACATTTGGTTAATACAGAGCAAAAAAGCAATACACATATGCTTTCAACAGGCACAGAGTGAACTCAGTTGCAGTCCAAGTTCAAGTTGTAATCCAAAGAAGGGCACGTAAAAGCAAAAGCAATGAAGACTTCACATGAACCTTGCCATTTCTTTCCACCAGACCTTTGGTCTCTTACAAAATAGGTCTGTAATACAAAAAGTAATAAAAACTCTGGATTCAATTTACTCAGCCTCTTCCATCACAAGTTAACTATAACATTTTGCAACAACATGAGTAGTATTAAGAGGGAGGTAAGAGGCAAAGACGGTTATGTCTTGGAATTATGCAAGTTCAGCTGTAGATAGGCTGTCCAGCAGCAGGCATGGACTTCTGTGTCATTGTCCCAGTTTTTGCAAGAAATACAAAGATCGTAAAACACATTTTTCTCTCATCAATTAAAACTTGATCCATCCTCCAATGACATCAAGGCAAAAGTTCTTCTGTTATCAGTGGTCTTCTGACAGGGATTCAGATGGCCTTCAAAAAAGTCATCCTCTCTAGTGAAAGGTTTGTCTCTCTCCAGTCTTCAGCTTGGCTGTGATGTCAGTAAAACCTGACACGCTGTTAACCACACGGGTGTTAGAACAGTCTCATCCTCCCTTCATGCCAGAAAAAGGGATTCAGCAGAATTTGATATATAAGAATTGAAGCCAACTTGGCAATAAACAGCTCCGCTCTGCTCAGTGTAAGATCTTAACCTCACCACAACGAAGTAAATAGAAGGTTTGTAATGAACTTCAGTAAGAGCCCAAGAGAAGCATCAGGCCAAACCAGAAAAATACGCACTTCTTGATATTAGACCTTGTTCTTCACACAGGAAAGGACATTTGTATTTCTGATCCTCAAGGGCAGTAACAGGAAGGTTCCCAAGAACAGTGCTCCAAATGTAAGTGTCCACAGTCAAACCTCTCGAGAAGTATTTTTAAACAAAGACAGAGATTCCTCTGTTTCCTTTGTAGCAGAACAAAAAGTTATCTCTATAAGCAGTAGGGTCCCTATTTTATTAACATGCTTCCTGTTATCACAACATAAACAAGAGTTATGCCTGTGCTCCATCATGACATTAGGAGTTAATCTTTACTCAGAAAAGCTTTATAGCAATATCAATGGTTTGAAGACTTACTTGCTCTCATTTATCTCCTGCACCTTTCTCTTTATAATGCCTAGGAAAAAAAACCCCAGAAACTTCTCCTGCTTCCACCTTAAGCAAAAAATTAAGTCCTACTTTTATGACAAAACCCCCTCTAAAAATGGTAATTTTTTTTTTTTTATAACTGCTGGAACCAGTTTTTTTGCAGTACAAGGAAAAATTTTTCTCAGTGTGAACTAACTTGAACAAGAGCAAGCAATCAAACATTACCTAGAAATGAACACACTGAAGAGAAGTCCCAGTACTGTGACACTTCATATTGAAAAATAAGTGATACACAGTTCAATTAGCAACAAGCTCCCTCTACAACTTGCGTAGCTGGCTCTCATGTTAGCTAGTTATAAAATACTCTTACAGTAGAACAACTTTAGAAAAATTTGGACAAGTTAGAATGGAGTTATTTTAATCTAGAACAACATCACCCAAAGATACAGATGAATACAAACACTGTTCGTATAAAAATCGGCAAAATATGAATTTAAGCTGCATTTTCAGTCTATCGATTGGCTTTCCTCTTGTTTTATAAAAATAGGGTATGACATTTTAGCTTCAGTTGCACATTTAAGTCATTTATCCACTGAACATTCCATTCTTGAAATATCATCTATTAAAATGTTAGTTAAGATTCATTCTGCTTATAGAACAGACTATAATTTCTTCTGAACTGCACTTGTAGACAATAAGAGACTAGTATGAGCTCAATAAAAAATAATTAGATTATGGGAAGAAAATAAAAAATAAACCATTAAAGAAAACCCCATCAAGGTCCACTTTTACTATCTGACTCCTAATAAAACAAACACCAGTGCCTTTTAGCAGATCAAAAGGTTTAACTCCACAATAATATTTACAGCCTGAATTCAGAAATAAACTGTTTTAAGTCTATAAGTTGCTACAAAAAGAGGACAAAAAATTCCAACAAAACATCTTCAAAGACAGAGGAAGCCACAGTAAAAATACTAAAAATTTCTGATCAGAGTACTGCATCAAAAAATAGCATTTGTAACACTACCATAGCTGTCTTATTCATTTAAAAAAATGGATTCCATACTACACTTGCACTTTTCTGATATAACTGTGCATGGGCAATTCACATCTCAACTATGTAGTACTTGAAGGAAAATAAAAAAGCTGAAGATTCGTTTTGCTGCTTCAGTGGTAAACCCCAGTGGGTGGGAGGGCCTGTTGGGGATACCAACATTGAAACAAATTAGTGATACGACAGAGTCAGAAATCCAATAGTACAAAGGCTGTTTGGACATGGCTCTTTCCCCTACTGCAAAGCAGATTTAATAAATGGGATTTATTTTATAAAGTTTCACAACTCTTAAACAGTAGATGATACTTGCATTCCTGAAGGATTAAGTTCTAAATTTCTTAATGCTAATTCAACTCTCTAAATCCAACCCAATAAAACCAGCAAAGCTTTTACAAGTAACATGTACAACCTAAAAATTCCGCCCTCAAAACTGCCTTTTTGGTACTCTTTTAAGCTCTTAAGATATTCTATTTATTGAAGAGATGCCAGGAAGCCTGCAGCAGGAACAAATGCTTCTTTGGCAAAAGGAAAACATTTTAATGCCTCCTCCCTTCAAAGTATGCACACCTCACCACAACATATGCTAATATACTACCAAATAAGTCTCTTTATCTTGCAGTTTTTATAACAAACTGTTTCATTCATATCTATTTCAGCTTGTAACTACCTACTGCACAGAGTAGCACACTGTGCTAAATCAACAAGTAGTTTATACCTAAGAAAGTAAAAAAAAACCCCAACACATAATATTAAAAAAAATATATATTATATATTCCAAAACAAGTCAGGAGGGGCTAATTTTGTATAAACTGTTTCAGTGTAATATTAAAATTTGAAGTCATGCAGCCATTTTGGGCCTTTCTTCTATCCTTTGTCCTTTATTGAAAATTAAAAAGATCCAACAAAAAAGGATTCCCACAAATATGATAGTGAGTGGAGATTTGTGCTAAATCTGCCATTAATATACAAAAGCAAATGCTACATCCTTTCTGTGAAGATAGCTGTGTATGCATGTATACCTGTGCATGGAGATACACGTACCTCTCCCCGGACTTCCAGCCTTCACCGAGGCACACACTCGGCTAACACACTTTCACAAATCAGCCAAATGCTGAATCTAGAAAAAGATGAAGACCACCTCTTTGCAGATCTAAAATTCTGCAATTGTAAAAATATAATAAATATAAATATTTACTACTGTATTGCTACCTTTTTTTTTTTTAATCAAAATTGATACGTGAAGTCATCTTCTTCCTGAAGAACTCAAAGAAGCAAAAGGGGAAATATTTTTAAAAATAGAAAACTCAAATGATGACAATAAAGAAAACACACCCTCAAACATGCTGGAGCAAGACCACTTATTGTAGGCATCAGTACCAGCCTTCTTTACTGAAACAGGATCTCTAGTCTCCAGACATATCCTAGTTACTCCAGTTAAATCAATGTGGCTAATGATAACAGAAAGATCTGTTTTTAATATGTGGATTTAAATACCATAGTTACCTGTCAAGGACTTGGTATTCAACTGAGATAACTCTGCTGGGGAAAATATTAAGATGAGAGGGAGAAAATAAAGCTAAATTCTAAGGACAAGCCACTAGGATCCATTAACGGTTTCTGTAGGCTTAGATCTATACACCTGAAGCCAGGTGTAGGGGTGAAGAGAATGGGGGGAGTAAATGAAAACTCATTTGTCGTAACTAAACACTTCTTTTTTTTCCTGATAAAGGAATGAAAACTGCCTCAAAATGATGCAATGGGTCAACCTGAAGACAGCCACATTTGAAAAATACTGGAAATCCTGAAGTCAGAGCTTGTGAAATTGTTTGGTTTGTATGCTGTCTTGGAGGAGAGAGAAGTTAATACTTTTAAAAGCTTGGTATTTACACTTCTGAAAAGTTTCTGCAGTTCGTCCAAATTCGATAGGGCAGGATTTAAGTGCCTCTTAGTGTTCCCAACTGGGCACTTCTGCTGCTTTGGCACACGCGCACACACACAGTATTCCAGTACCAATGGGATACGACGTCTAATGCAGCTTTAAACTGGCAGGACTCCTGAGTAGTTTTAAATGTTTATCAACTCAGTAGGTCAAAAGTCTGCAGACACTGGGTGGAGCAGCAGTATGCCACAAAACTAACAGTTGTCCTCCTAGGAAAAAAAAAAAGGGGGAGGGGGGAAACAGTTGTCAGTAGAGATTAAAGCTCCTGGCCCCATTCCACAGCAGACAATATGCTGGTTTGTAAAACACAGGATCAGTCGATCTCAACGCTTCAGAAAAAGAAGGTTCATTTGCTCTATATGACTGATACAAAGGCAGGGAAACACTGCAGGGGTTGTCAAAAACCTTGCTGGTTTCTTCTGTGTTCAGTTTAAAGCACTAGCATGTGGTTTTTCTTTCTGTGGGTGGGGCTGACTGTTATAGCCAGTAGGTTTAACAGCTAAAAGGAAAATAGCTGGGTAATTCTTTGCTTCAGCTTTGCTCATGTGTTTCTTAAATTACTGCTTGTAGGCATGAAATAACTGAAGTCCAGTGTCCTCCTTTGGTTCAGCCGAGTGAACAAACTGGGCCCAGATCTTCAGAAAGGACGATCGACATGTAGTGCTGTCACACTGTGCCAGGTACTACAGCAGGAGTGGCAGCATGGAAATGTGATACTAGCCTCATTGTGACCCTCCTCCTGCCCCCATCCTGGCAGGGACCTAGATATCTCCTTTAAAAATGTTAAGGGATCCTTTCTACTAAGCCAGAAATCACACTTTACCCAGTGCTCATGTCATCTGTGCTTTTTCAGACAGAGAAATCCAGTTCAACACTTAACTATCCTTTCCTGTAAGAGGATACAGAATGCGGTAAGGAAATCCAGACAGAAGTTACTGGCATGGATGTGGCATGTGCTAACCAGTGCTGTTCGAACGTTCAGGTTCTCTACCATGTGTGTTTTCATGGTCACTGTAAGATCTTTAGAAGAGAAACCCTGTCCTTCATGTCTTTCTAGACCAGCTATCACACCTCTCCAATTCCACATAATCTTACCATGTCAAGTACATGAGCTACAGAGATAAGGATGTCAGGCTACCCTGTTTAGATCTCATTTTCTGTGGATTTGCATCAGATGGCAGCTACATAAGACTGTATTCATTAAGGCATTTTTCAGAACACAGTACATTATTGTCTAAGGAAGGGAATGATAACTACTTTTTAAACAAGTGGCAACCATGCAGAAATATGTGTTTTCAATTAATATATTTTAGAATGTTAATACAGTGTTCTTTCAAAATAGCCCTGAAGTATGTTTTTGTTTAATTGTAACTTCAGTAATTCCTAAAGGTGTCTACTGATATGTCTATCATCTCATAACTGCAAATTCTACAATGAGCAACGCTTAGCAATTAATTAGAAAGTAGAGCATTCTACTTCAGTCCACACTCTCCCATTGTTGGATTATTTTGGATAATATAAGGATTTAGTGACCAGCAAGTACTTTTCCATCACTCTTAGAAAATTACATTGTTCAATTATTATAATCATGCTATAAAGAATTTATTTCAACATTTATGCCACTCTGAATATTAAAACTGTAACATGGAAGCAATTTATTTTACTTAACATGAAATCCATTGAATACTAACATACGATGGAAGTGTAACAGAATGGCAAGTTGAAGTATGCAATCTCTACAATCAGATCTTTCTAAGAAAGATGACTTTACCAAAATAGCATTTATACAGCCTTCTGGCTGCTGTCCAGATTTGGCATACCTAAGTTGTTTTCATTTCATAAAACTGAATTGCTTACAAATCAGATAACTCTTATTCCACAAACTCATAGCAAAATAACCTGTGATGGAGCTGTGGAAAATAGGTACCATCACCTTGAAACATCAATTAGTCTCTTCTTTTTTTCTTAAAGGTCTTCCTGTTGAAAAGCACTTGCTTATTTTTATAGAAGATAACTATCAAATCAATGGATTTCAGCAGGACAAGAAGTGACATTCTTGTGCATTACATATACCAACAAGTAATTTCAGAAACATTCCTTTTTAAAGCACCTTTCTTTTCTGCTCCCCACCTTTAGGCATATGCTTTGTAACTAATGGCTTGACTTGAATTCTCTAAAAAGAACCTGAACATCACATTGGCTTGTTTAAAGCCAAGTGACTTTTCTTTAAACTTTCTTTATTAGATTTCAAACAGTACTGTACCTTTGTCCAAGTAGAACCAGTTAAGATTTCTCTAATGATCCTTTCACATGGCAGAAAATGGATTTGTTGATATTATGGCTCATGGTAGGCTACAGTATCAACTCAGATTAATAGGGGTTAGGGAAAGAATCACTGCAAAGCAATCAGTGCTCACCTTAAAAGATACTTTAAAGCTTTATCTACATGAGGGCAATATTCCCTGAACCATATATCCCAGTTTTGAGTCCTTCCTGTGACTGTACTGTCCAGCAAGTCAGGAAGTCTGTGTAGGCTTGTCTACTTGTGAATCCTGCAGACACATTCACAACTGCTACAACCATAAAAATGGAAATATTTTTAAAGAGATGTATTGCTATGGAATGTATCTTTTAATGCAGAATGCTTTCACAGAATATCTCAATTTAATTAGCGTGGAAAGAAAAACAAGTATTTTACCACAGAGCATTTTAATTAAGCTCTGCCTTTAGAGCTTTTTTTCATCTTTAATCCTACAGCACTTTTTTTGGGGGAGGTGGCATTGTCCAGAAGTCAGGGTTGACACCATCAGGGGAAGTACTGGTGTTTGGTAGTATTTCCTCCCCAAGGCACAGAAGTGCCATGCATGTGCTCCACTATCACAAACAAGTCAATCCCATCATATCAAAGCCCTTCACTATCTTACAGCACTCAAACACACAAGTGAGGTAGCTCTTTTTAAACAGTCTAACAGCAGTATTCCAGTTGTCTTGTAAATAAAAGATTTGTCAACTTTTACATGCAATTATAGGACAGGGGTTTTATATCTGAAAGGCTGCTAAGTTTTTTTTTTTTTTTAATAAATCCTTAAGAATATGCTTTGTTCCACAAGGTGTTTTTCTTCCTAAATGAAACCCCAGTGTAATATCCTGTATAATTACCCTTGATGCAATCCTGCCATGGGAGTTTCCCTCAAGGGAAAGAGCTTTGGGTAGACAATGGTAAACATAGGCTGGCTGCAGCGGTGGCAGTGTCCCAAGGGACAGTGCAGCAATTCCAAGAGGCTTTTGGGTAGTGAGATTGGAGTCAGAAAGTTCAAATCTAGAGAAGAAAAGAAACAGAAAAGGCTCATAACAAATCTATTGCGTGATAAAGTTGAACACAACAAGCATGATCCATGAACAATTCAGAAAATCAGCTGTGTCACATTTCTAAGACTCTGTCAGAAGAACAGCAAGGTAATACAAATCACCACAACTAGGGTGAAGCACACAGTGTTTTCTATGTATAAGTTCAAAAAGTTGAGTTAAATGTGTAAGTTTAGCAGCTGGGGGCATAAGATTAACTGGGCCCAAATACCCAGGTGAAAATACTACAGCACAAGCAAATAATAAAAACCAGCAATATATCATAAAGCACTTCTAGACAAAGACAAAAAAAAGCAGGTGTTTAGTAATTACTAACAATACAAAATTATGAGAAGGACATCAGTAGTATTTTACTAAAATAGTTCAGGAACTAATTCAGCAGGATAGTTAAGCTCACTAAAAAACCCATACTTCATCATCAGCAAAAAGGGATCTGAAGCATTTAGAATTATCTGAAATACAATCCAGCCCAGCGTAATTCTCACAGGTGCAACCAAAGAGACCACTCTAAAAAGATCAGTACATTCATAATCTCTTAAATGTGCATCCACAGTTTACAAGGTGTCATCATTTTCACCAAAAGGGACTCTAGGGTCATTTCATGGGAACGAGCAATCATTTTCTCAGGCTTGGCCCAAGCCACATAGTGTTTTATAAATTAAAACCAACATGCTAATCTCCATCTAGAAACTGAGAGACAGCCAAGACAGGTGAATGAATTTAGGTGCTGAGTAATCACGACAAGATGCAGTACCTGATAAATCAGTTTTGTGATATCACAGTAGTTTCAGCTTTCAAACACTGTAAGGTTTAACCCAATACACAATGTACCACAACAGCCTCAAGTGAGATGACAAGCATGATGAACAGTACATTTGCGTCAGAAAGAAAAGGTCACATTCTGTAGCCAAGCAAAGACTGAGGAAAAGTAGTTCAGTTGCTTGTCATACCTACCTAGCAGCCACCAAGTATTTTAATGCCACCGCTGAAACGGCAAATTTTGGCAGTGATGGATCAAATCTGCTACTTTAACCGTATGTGACACCTCTTTCCCCAGCACACCATTATCTTACACGAGTCTGAATTATACATTACTCCTGCCTCACTGAAATGTGGGTGTCACCAGTGGTAATGCACATAGTCTTTAGTATGGTCACTCAGAATAAGATATATCTCAGTGTGTGCATATGTATATATAAATATAAAAAAAATATACAGGAGCCCACAATGTGTGCTCACAGCCCAGAAAGCCAACCATACCCTGGGCTGTGTCAAGAGAAGTGTGGCTAGCAAGTCAAGGGAAGGGATTCTCCCCCTCTACTCTGCTCTCATGAGACCCCATATGCTGTGCTGTGTCCAACTCTGGGGACCTCAACAGCAGAAGGACATGGACCTGCTCGAGCGGGGCCAGAGGAAGCCACGAAGATGCTGGGGGGGCTGGAGCAGCTCCCCTGGAAGGCCAGGCTGAGAGAGCTGGGGGGGGTTCAGCTGGGACAAGAGAAGGCTCTGGGGAGACCTTAGAGCAGCCTCCCAGTGCTTAAAGGGGGTACAGGAAAAGTGGGGAGGGACTCTTTATCGGGGGTGGGGTGGGGATAGGATGAGGGGTAACTGTTTTAAATGGAAAGAGGGCAGATTTAGATTAGATAGAAGGAAGCAATTCTTCACTGTGAGGGTGGTGAGACATTGGCCCAGGTTGCCCAGAGAAGCTGTGGCTGCCCCCTCCCTGGAAGGGTTCATAGCCAGGTTGGACAGGGCTTTGAGCAACTTGGTCTAGTGGAAGGTGTCCCTGCCTGTGGCAGTGGGGCTGGAACTAGATGGTCTTTAAGGTCCCTTCCAACCCAAACTATTCTATCATATGATAAAAAGACTATATAGTACAGTGTAGTAAACAAGAGGTAGGCAAGACAGTTAAAAAAAAAAAAGTTTCACCATCTTTCTCAGGCTCTGCACTTTGGCTGCAACTAGATATAATCCTCACAGCTTTGTATAGACCATATACAAACCGTTTCTTAAACTCATTTTGCAATGCTATCTTGCTATTCCCAAACCAAACTTCACCAGCATCTTCAGAAACCACATTCATAGAGAGTTATATTCCAGAAATTATTGTGCAAGTCAAAACTGGGTGAGAAAAGTAGTTACAGTCAACTTAAAAGATCTTGTACCTGATGTTTTCAAGCTCCTTTTCAAAGACTAGAATTTTGCATACCAAAATGAAACAACATTTGTCACTGGGTAATTTTGGTGCAGCTGATATCCTGATATTAAGTATGTAAAAACCTTCCCTCTCCTCACTATATGCAGAAATATAAAAAATACACAACTGTGAACTGGTCAATTAATATGTTCTCCACACAGCAGCGCTGTTTCCTATGAACACAGGCTTTGTATGGTTATCCCACCCTTCAATATCAAGCTTCTTCCTTACAGCATGTTTGCTGCGGACCTCCTTGTACACTTTTCCTGGCAAAATTTCAGCAGTTACGATTTCCTCCAGTGGCCGTGGTACAAGTGATCCCTTATCATAAACCCTCTAATCTTTCCATTCTAACTCTCTATGCTTGTGCTTTCTACTTCCGCCTCTGATGGTGACAAATTCCCATGACACCATGAATAGGGGGGAGTCGCAATGCCTCTGAACGTGCAGGTTATCATCAGGTATTGCTAACTCATGTGACTGCATGATGCATAAACAGATGAGCCAAGGGCCACTTTACAGTGAAGAGTCTGAATTGGGGCAGAACTAAAAAAGCTCAGCTGTCACGCTGTACTGAAATGGCCAAGGGCTGCTAGCATTTCTTTTGCCTTATGTATAACCAGTCTGCCAGTTTAGGAGTGTGCTGCCTGGCAAGAAGTTGCATTGCTGGCTGATGTATCTAATCTTGCCTCAGGAACTGTATTTCTCATCTCCACTTTCCATTAAAGAGTTTCTCCTGCAAAAAGCCTCCTTCTTTATACAGTCCTCAATAAAGAAACCATTTACAAGCACCACTCAACCTTAGAGATAGTCTTGGGATCTCTGTGTTTTGATCTTGGACATTTTTCTTCTAATACAGCATTTAAAACATATTTTGATTAAATAAATCTTTTAAAATATTAATCCTTGCCCATATCTTGGAAGAGCTATTTAAAATGTTCCTATTATTGCCAGAAAAGCACTCCCACTCTTTCTGTAATCTGAAGAATGCAGAAATTTCATACCTTTTAAAAAGCTGTAGTAGGTGTTATAGAGGGTCCTCATGGCCAGTTCTTGCAAAGGCAGTACATGATCTGTTTCTGTTCCTATAGATTTCACCTCTGCTGGCAGGAACACAGTTAACTGGCCCGATGAAAAAGAGAGCAGTTTCACCTCTGAAACTTGAATTGGAGAACCACAACTAGAACGACAGAAAACATTTCAGAAGTGGTTAGAAAACAACAACAAAAAAACAACAACAAAAAACTTTCTGGGGAAACCCAGATGATCAACCCAAAGTATGCCTGATACCGTTCTTCAGTGCAGCACCCTTGAACTCTTCAAGGATTCCTTACAGAGTGCAATACATGTTGGGCTTTGACTAGGTAACCTTAAAAGGTCTCTTCCAACACAAACTATTCTATGATTCTATTTTGACACACATTTTCTACAGATTCCCACTAGTCATGGGACATCTGGAGGTCTTTAGTTATAAAATAATACTCAAAAGCTAGAGAAATGAGAATACAATTCCAAGGAGGTAGACCAAGTGCACTACATGTCCCTTACTCTGCCAACATGCTAATCTCTTTCAGCCTCTGAAAGCTATTATTTCTAAATATTTTACATAGTGGAGCAGTTTCATACCCAAAAGTTGGCGCTCTGTGTCTTGAATAAACCAGTTGAGAATGGTAATAGATTTCTCAACTATAATATGTCAGGCAAACAACAACCACCAAAACATATAATTTAAGTGCCACTGGATGATTCTGTACTACACATTTCCCCGACCACAGAGTTCCCTTGGACAGTGCAGGGGAGTGGGTGAAGGAAAAATAAGAAGAACAGCCTAAGCTGTAGTGGGAAGATACACTAGTAAGTCTACTACCCTTGTCCTTCCCAAATCACGTAAGGAAAAGGAAGGTTATTTGGATCCAAGGAGAGAAACTTAGCTTGTAGTAAAAATAATAACTCTTTACGTGAACCCTGTTGCAAGCTATCATACCAAAGAGACACGCATAGGAAAATTCTACTAAGAGATTGGGGAAGTCAACAGGGTAATCGGAATTGTTTATGACAACTTAAATTTGAAGCCAAGAGCAACTTGTTAGGGCCAGTCCTAACAAATGGAACAGAAACAGAAATTTGTCAGTCTTCCCAGATATCGGACCTAAAACTGAGGTAACCACACTTGACCTTATCAGATGTGAAAGAAATCTCATAGTACTTCTCTGATAACAAAGAATCTCATCTCTCCTGATTAAAGGAAAAACAGACAAGAGAAACAAGCAAAGAAGAGCAGCATCAAACAGCAAGTCAATAAACCTCTTGTTAAATATTTAATACTTCCCCACAAACCATTAATGGGGTTAAAATATAATTGGGAATCCAGAGATCCAGTATTCCAACAATCCATTCCTCAGCAATCCATACCTAATGAGTTAGCTATCACAACAAATAAATCTATAATGTTGTATTTTCAAGCTGATTAACCCTTTACCAACCTAGCTAGAAGACACACCCATAAACTCACTACAGTTTCTGCAGTTCAGAGCTGGACCATTTGGTCTACATTATGCAAAGGGTGGACCACAACACTGAAAAACGAAGTAAACAAGCAGAACAGACGATCAAGATGAATAAGCTAAGAGATATACACCCTTAAATCAGGATTCATTAGGGAATAAATCTCAACCTACAAGTAATACTGGGTGAAAGAATAAAGACTTAAAAAAAAAAAATCCATGGAGGTTAAAAAGGGGAATAGGGGATGGTCTAACTTGATGGAAAAAAATGGAGCTGCAGAAGAACCCTGGTGAATAAATAACTGGGGGGAAAAAAAGCCATAACCACCTATTGGCTGCCTTGAACAAGACTGCCAGATACCTAGCCTCAGACTGAAATCCAATCTGCAAAAAATAAGATCAAAATTTATTTTGAGTGCTGAGATCATCACCTCTTACATAAAAGACTTTTTCAGTCAGTCTGACTGCAGGATTCCCAGACAGAGATTCATTACTTACACAATGCAATTTATATTCTATTTTCAGAAATCTAGCTTTATGTTAGTAACAGTAGCATGTCAGATTTTATTCTCTAGTGGATGACCAGACAGAGTACAAAAGCCTGGATCTTCAACTCTTGCCTGAGCCATGGAAACCTTGCATTGGTTACTCACACTTTCTCAGAAAGAACACAGAAATCCTTCACATGACCATTATCACATGATTTTAACGTCACTCAGTACATTATCAAATAACACCTTTGGTTTCTTACTAATATATGTAAGTGCCCTTCCTATGTTGAAACCTTTCCTTAAAAATTATCTGTGATGTTTCAAGGTGGTTTAACAACATAAATAACTGTTTGGTACACAAGTTCAAATATTATTTTGCTTACTAAAAATAGTTTTAAAATTATTTATAATTACGGGAAAAAAATATAATTTTTTATTCCACAGAAGCATTACAAGAATTAATTTCATTGCAAAAGCTGCAACTTTCTTGGACTCTTCTGTACTAGCTTTATAATATTCTCCATCAGAGATTCTAGCAGCTAACCTCATCAGCAGTGTGCATGTAATGACAGCAAAAAGAACTGATAATATCTTCACCAAAGGTCTGTGCAAAGATAAAATTATTTTGACTGAGTATAAAACAAGAACTTAAAACTTTCTGCAAGTATTTAAATATCACACAGCCAGCTGACATGGGAATATTAGAAAAAGCTTAAAATGCCAAGACTCAGCATCTCGCATACTGCAGTAGAGTGCAGGCTGTAGAGAGGAGATTTATATTTAATGCAAGATTTGCTGAGAGTGAGCATACCAGAAATTTATAATTAGATGGTAATGGAGACAATCCTCTTCTGATCAGTTTTACACCAGTAAGACTCCATTCATCAGTGGTGCGGATCCTCATTTATGCTACTGTCAGTACAGAAAGAATTAAGCTAGTGTCCTAGACAGACCACTTTTTTCTCACATCCTAACCACAAACATGAGACAGCCGAGGATATTTTTAAAATCCACATGTAAAAATATACCTGTCAATCCATAATTTCTAAAAAAAGTTATTTATTTTAGTTAATAGGTACCAAGCCCTACAAGAAGCTGATACTGGGATGCAAAATGAGGAGTTGCACGTGTCATTCCAAGATATGGCCCATAACTTACAGAAATGTGAGAACTTATGAACCAGATAGATGCTGCAACACTTTAAAAATATTTTGTTCATTCTTTCGTTCTGGAAATTCTGTGAAGCCTACATTTTTGGCCAACCTTTAAGTCCAGCTAGGGTTCAGCTTTAAGCCTTACATTATCATTACAGATTCCTTCAGAATAACGGCACTGTCTGTTATGGCTTAATACTAAAATACTGAAAGTCAGTAATTAACACTGAATATTTATTAGAAAAATAAAAAAGAACTGGGAGCTACAGTAAACCCCTCAAATTAACATCAGTTCTAAATCCATCGCACACACACAAAAATAATCAGTCATATCGTACAGGAAGATATTTATGAGAAATTTTACAGGGAACAGGTATGCAAGACATCTGAATTAATTCATACTTACCCACTGCAACCAATGACTTTATTATACAGGTAAGATGGGAGGCCTTTCAGATTAATATTGTTATCCACATAAACATACTGTAGCTCTCGAGAACGACCTAAATCTGGGTTTAGAAAACAAGAAAAGTCAGGTGTAGAAGAGATGACAGTGACAATTACAAGCAAAGAAATTCCCTTTAATTATAAATAAGCTAATCAGACCCAATGTAAGCAAACATAAACTAGTACTTCTCAGTTGTAAAATTTCAGCCAATGGTCTTATTATGGATGTGTTGAAAAGCTGTTTGGAAAATGGCATTTAAAATTACTAAAACAACACCCCTTTTCAGTAACCCTAAAAATCCTGTTATAAATAATTAAGTGTTAACAATGACAAACTCTGAAGTCAGTTTAAAGCAGAAAAGGGACAACCGATTTCAAATTTTCAGTGCATACTTTAAGTTCACAAGGTCAAACCTGCTTTCATTATCTGGCCTTATGTCACTGGAATCACAGCTTCACTATCTTTGGTAAAGTGGTAAAGACATAAACAAGAACACTGTCCCACTCTTTCTTTTTTGCAAGAAGACATACTTGTTTGACTACATTAGCCATAACCAAATACAACCAGTAATTATTCAGAAACAAGACTGCGTGATGCAGTAAGGTACAGAACACAAGAAAACATACAAGCATTAAACTGCAGAATAGTATACAACAAAAACTGCATTGATCATTTACTCGTAGCCACATCTGAAAGTGTGCTGCTTGTGTTATTTCTGTTAAAATATTCATGGCTGGCAGTCAAAAGAAGCAAGTACAGCGTGTTTAAGCAATGCCTTCACAGACTAGAAATATATTAATGTACCTCCAGATAGGAACATGTAGGTACAAAACAATTTTATTTTGTTTAGAAATTAAAGTGGAAAAATTGAGCAAAATTAAAAGGGAAAATTTAGGCTTCTAGGAATAATTCTCAGAAACAAGAATTGTGCTTATCAGCAAGATCCAGTCAGTGGTAAAACTCTCTGCTACCAAAAAAAGCGAAAAACATGCTAACGTGAGACATTTAAAAAGACAAACTGAACAGTGAACTAAAAAGAACAGTAAAAAAGAGTTTTGAACTGGCAAGAAAGCTGACATGTAGGATCATCTGGGCTGCCCCCTTCATCTGTAGCTCCTATGCCGTTCAAGATACTGGGTTAAGAAAAGACATACGCATTTAATACAAAGCACAAACCAAGTGACCAATGTTTGAAAGCCTCTCTGCCTGGGAGGGGATAGCCGCAACCCAGATGAACTGCATTATGAAAAAATAAATTTAAAAAAAAAAAATCTGTATGCCTCTCAACTTCTTAAACTTTTATGAGTATGTTGTAGAAACTAAGCAAGATAAACAAGCATTTGGCTGAATCATCCACATTGCAAGATGATACCACTATCAACCAATTCCGACTTCCCGTATTTATGAACTGTCAATTACCTTGGTTGGCATAAAGATAACCAGAGAAATTAGCATAGCTTCTTGCTAATTGGCCAAGAACAGAATAAAAATTAAAGCTAATTCCGTGATATTTCTATTCAGAAATTCTATTTGGAATAATGATCTGTTACCATTCCCTACTATGACAATAGGTAACACAATACCTTCTTTATTATTGAATAGCTTTATTGTACACAGGAGCTCTGGACACCACTTAGTGCAGATAAAGCAAATGATATTTTGAGTGATTCCTTCCTCCCCCCAACATTTCGCCATCTTAAAATATACTAAATGTCTTCAGCTGTCACCCACTTGAATGGCAGCTGTAAGCACCAGAAACCTGAAATGCTCACACTGAGGAAGAGCTTCACAGGGTGTCACAGTATCAAATCTTTGATATAAAGAACAAATTATGATACCAACAGAAAACGAAGAGATTCCTTTTCTGAAATAAAAATGTTAACTTCGAAAAAAAACGAGTTTTGGTTTGTTTTTTTTTTTTTTTTTCTTTTAATATAAGCCCTTGCCCTCTAACAGGAGGTTTCAGGGACCATAATCTGGCCTTTGTTCAAACCGGAGTCACTGGACATCAGGGGACATGTTCAACCATCGCATACTGCTTTGACCCAGTCCCAGAGCATTCTAGTTTACAGAGCTTTCTGCTGCATCCATCAACTGTCCTGCCCCAAGAAGCGAGTACAAATATCTCTGCTGACTGATGGGCACTGCTGTGACATGCTGCTGTGCATCATTATGAGCTAACATCTCAAAAAGATGATTTATTTTGGCTCAGTATTGCAGGGCTGAAAATAGTTTAGTAAAGTTCTGGGATATTTTTAGATGAAACAAAAACATTGTTATCCTACTATGAATAAAAATATTGTAATACTGAGGCACTATAACACCATAAAATATTGTAAGGCTGAAAAAGAATCAGCCAATAAAATTTAAAGCAGATAGCATGTGCACGGCACACCTAATGCTTAGAGAATATCACCTCATGGTGCAGAAGCCAGTTATACTAAGAGGAGCAGAAAACTATGGGTTGCTGGAGTAGCTTGAATGTGCTACTGTTTAACTTATTAATTTAGAGAAAGGAGGAAAATTTTTAAAGAAGAGGCTCATCTTGCTCATTTCTACACAGATGTATGCAAATGGGCTGAAAATCAGGCAAGTCAAAAAAAGCCCTAAAGCTGTTCTTTTCATATGCATTGAGGGGGGAGTTAGGCTGCATCTCATCTCTTCATTCCCTCTGTCTTTATCTTATGCTATGTTTAGATTCTAAGTTCTGAGTTGACTGCATTTCCTAGGTAATTAAAGCAAATTTTTGGATGTTAGACAAAATATCTCAGTAGGAAAAATTCAATTCCCAAAGCCAAATAGCCTGGAACTATAAATGTTCCTTTGATATGGTTTCTTTGCATTAAACAACCAAGCATCTTCTAGTCCCCAAAAGATTTTTTTTTTTCCAATTTCAAACACTATCCATAAAGTTTAAATTTAAATAAATCATCACTTTAAAAAGCTCTTTGTATCCCATCCACATTAATTTTTATGTCTTGTATCAGTCAACAAATATTGTTAAAAGTTCTCTAAAAAACACGCTTCTGAAGAACTTTGTAAAATAAGGAAGCTGTCCATCTATGAAAAGGCTAAAGCTACAAAGAAGGTTTTCATGTGGCTTTTGCGAGCACTGTACTGTGTCTAAAACATTTCCACTTTCCTCCTTCCAGACTCCTAGATCAAAGACCTTTCTCCCAGAAATGACCAAATGCCATGAGTCCTGAACAAACCCCAATTCTATTTTTTTTCTTTTTTTCCCTTTTTATTTTCTTTTTCTTTTCTTTTCTTTTTTTTTTTTTTTAACCTCAGGGCCCTGGCATATGCATTCCACATGGCTGAAGATGGAACAAAAGTTCTTGTGTCTGTACTGATGCTCTTTTAACCATACTGTGAGGGCAAGGACACAAAAGCAGCATATACTGAGGTAGAATAAGACCTTTGTTTACTGTGCACTGATAATTACTAGACCCATTTTCTAAACAAAAAGTGCACATAAACCCTCAGTAAAATGATATAACACTGAATATTTGCTGTCACAACATCCCCTGTACTGCCAGTACACTTGAGAACTTACACCCTATTTTAATTATATTTGTACTTTATTACATAAATCATTTTCATTTTTGCTATGTCATCAGATTCAAATTTCTGCTTGCAATGGAATTTGTTTTCAGGCATTGGAGCATTTGCTAGTGGTAAAATTTTAAAGTTAAATTTCTGACAATGTGTAATTTATGTTCTAAGTAGATGGATATAAAATGATCAGTAGTTCCATCTGCCATTCAAGAACAGAATCCTAAAACCACTGATTAGGGGAGCATGGAAGTTACCCTAGCACTAATAGGGCTGTCCAGGATGCAGTTTTCAGGGCAACTTACACATGGAGTTTGGGTGGGGTTTTCTGAAGAAATTTATTAGGAAGGCCCAAAAGGTCAGATCCAGGCAGTCTAGCTTCTTTGGATATAGACTGGAATATTCAATAGCTGAAAAAGTGTAACTTTTAAAAAATACTGGCATATTCAAGAATTAACTGCGTTCTGCAGAACAAGTGACTAATTCATTATTGTTTACCCATCTGCTTGTTTATGTACCAGTTCTGAAAGTCAGAGAGTGAAATCAGTTATTTCTATTGTATTTTGTAAAATGGATTAATCTTAGGATGCTTGTGCCTGGAAACTTGAAAGAATATACAGGACAGAAAAATACAGTATGTATCCAGCAGCACTGTGCTACTGCTGGAACGAATCTTACACCTATCAATCTAGGAACAGGAAAATGTAGATTTCCTTTACACCTATCAAGAAGATCTACTGGCAGCTACAAGGGACATACTTAGATGAGGAAGAATGGATTCCTTCACATAGTAGATAACAACAATATGAAACAAATAAAGTAAATCACACTTTAAAATGCATTAAGCAATACGTTTCAAACATATTTCTTCTAATATATACATCTAATAAAAAAAAAAAGAGAAAAAAACATTCTGTCAGGAGATTACAATGTCTTCTTTTCAACACAACTGCCTAATTGAGAAAAAACTGACAATTCTTGCCTGAATAGCACTTGTAGATATTTCTACAGTATCTTTCACTGTTATTTAACATCCTTACACAGTCATTAAGTAGTGAAGCTGAATGTAAGAATACACACGCAGAAAACCATTAGCCACATGTGCAGCTAGCAGAAATAATGCTACAATTATGCCTTAACTACAATAATACTCCAAGAAAAATATTTTCCCATACAATAGAAGACAGATTTGATCTTTTCACTTTTCAGTGCACTAACTCTCTCTTCTACTTTATCACATCTTGACCACTCTGAAGCATTATGATTCTTCAGAGGAAGGATTAAACATTTACATTTATACTGTGCTGCTTTTCCTCTGAACTCTAGGATTTATGATTCAGTTTCATATCCACAGATAGCAAATTATCTCCAAATGTTCACCGGTGAGTCACTATTAGGAACTACTGAACAAGGTCAATTGACAGTCTTTGATGTTTCCCGTTATTTTAAAAGTTCCTTTTGAATGTTTTGAATCTGAGTCTAAAAATAAAGAAAAAAGAAGGTGTGTCATTATATTAGAGATTTATTTCCTCCTTTTGAACTTAAAACATTTCAGGAGATCTATGGCTCATCCAGGTCATAGCTTACTCATAGATAAGCTACTACTGCAAAAGTAGCAAAAACTTTTACCCTTTAATATTTTGCATCTCATCTTACTGAGCAGCATCTTATTTTTGCAAAATTAAAAAGATTCAACTTCCTTCTCATGAAACAGAGTTACAAATATTTGCCAAAATAGGGGAAGTTACTTTGCTCAGTTTAGTACTGTGGAATCTGGATGATGCAACCTGGAACTTGTTTTCTCATTTATATAATGACATATGTTGGGACATAACTAAAACACTCTGTCTGGAAACATATTTGCATTTACTTTCCAGTAATATAAACTAAGGTGCTAAGAAAACCAGAAAGATCATATACTACTATAAAGACTAAATTGCTAGTACTGAAAAAATTAAGTTAAACCTATACAATGTAATTACTTTAGAAATTATCTCATTTTTAGCCACCTCAATTTTCATCTTCTTTTCAAAGTCATTATCATACCTTCATCTGCACCTAATTAACACCAAACTCTGACTGTATTCTAGAAAAACTATTAATGGCTATTCAAATAACATGACAGATCTGCCTGTGTGTCTGTAGTTCAGCAGAGATTAGCCTGTGGAAGGGCTAAAGAGTAACCAACACAGGGAAGAGGACTTGCTTTTCACAAACAGAATATACAGTCCACACAACACAACTACATCCCACAACAAACCACCACATGCTGACTGCACCTCCTACTCTTGAAGATCTGCTTCAACACTTCCAATCTTTGAAAGGGTTGATAGGAAGGCAGATAAATTCTTTCCTGTGCTACTACTGTGGAAGTTTTGATGGATGCCTATACACAGCACAAACTAAAGCTCTGGTAGATTATGCAATAGTGACATTCCTAATGATGAAAAATAATTTATGTGGAGTTACTGGGATTCCACAGCAAGTTTTAAACCCTGGCTGAAGAATCTTAGTTAAATCATCAGATCCAGCAAACAGGAACAGATCATTACCGAAAGTGCTGGAACTCAGATTACCTAGTACTGTATTTAAACACAACATCATTTAAACTTTTTTCAGTTAGCTAAAAATAAAGCAAATTTGATAGCTGACTTACTGCTTTAAAACAGATATGAAACCTTAACTTGCCTTTTTAATTTGTTCAGTAACACATTTTCCAACAATATGATTGCTGTGACAACTCCATAAACAGAGTTTGTTGGGACCACTGAAGAAAATAACTTGTTGCCTTGCTGTTTTGTTTTGTTTTTTTTTTTTTTCTTTTTGGGACATAAAGTTTGTTTTCCTGTCTCTTCTCTGACCCAGCCCCCCAGCCCTGTGACAGTGGTGACTCACCAAGTGGCAAAAATGCAAGGCGGTTTCCAGCCATGGAGAGCTCATTGAGGCTTGGTAGTTGGCACAGGTGGCGGGGAACATACCACAGGTGATTTCGGTCTGCAGTCAAGTACTGCAGCGAAAGGCACATATGTAGCCTTTCAGGTAATGTTATCAAACGATTGGTTGAAATGTCCAGCGTTTGCAGCTCCCTCAGGTCTCCAACCTCTACAATCCAAACAGAAGGCATTGATAATTATTAATGTAACTATACTCACAAACAAGACCACAAAAAAAATCTCACATAAATTAAAAACAAAGGTCATCAGTCAGCTGCGCTGCTTTTCTCTTTAGATACTGTTCTATCAATCAGTGTTCAGAACGGATACTAACAATCTCCATCAAGTTAATATTTCAAATCTTTTTGATGAGAAACAGTTATCAGTTGGGAAGTATGTTTAAATACAAGATGTCTCAAGGTGGAGCTTTCCTGAATTGTGACAATTACTGCCGTCAAAAATATCAAGCAGTTTCACGGTCCTAAGTCAGAACCAGAAAAAAAAACCCACAAACATATGACAAAACACATTACAGAGCTTGCTGTTATTGAGGGTGTTCTGCATGACTCCAAACTCATGGAAATTCAAATTTTACTTTAAAAAAAAAAAAAAAAAAACAAAACAAAAACAGTTGAGGATGCAATGCTTATATCCACCTTAAGATTCTTCTGCAGTAAGACTTACAAATACATGCACAGCACTTCTTGCTCAGTGACAGTCTTTCACCAAGCATGCTTAGGAACAACAGCTCTGTCTTCACAGTACAATTTAGAGGACCTAGTTTAAATTAGAAATGAAATTTCTTAACCTGTAGGTTATAATGTTATGTTATATTGTAGGAAGGTATTACAGTAAATACTAACATATAGTTGCAATAATTACAACTTCCAGAGATTTTTTAACATTTTAAGAATTTTAAAAGTATATTTTGTGTTTTAAATAGTACTGTATAATTTTTTTATGTAGATAACAAATGAAGTTCTTAGATGTCTGCAAGACATGACTCACAAGTAGCCTTACTTGTGCAGTGATTTTCTTTGTGTCTGGCCTGTGGGACCAGGATGCACTTCTCTAAGGACTGACTGACAAATATATTAAGCAGCTCTTCAAGTTATCTCATTGTTTGTTTAGTTATTCTTTTACAGTTACTCTAAAAATTGGATAAGTCTATAAATTATTTCCCCCCTCAAACATGGGGAAACTGTAGTCAGTTTTGCTTTCTTTTTAAATACTTTACAGCAATGGAACCAACTCAAAGTGCTTGGTGCCCCTAATTCTCACTGCAGTTCTCAGCATCTTGCAGAACCAAATGTACTTTGCTCTTTGCTGAATGAAACCAGCTCTTGCATCTGATAGCTGCTAAACAAGATTTACTGGAATTTTCTACACTGAAAACACCAGATAATCTACACAATCCACAATCCGCACAATTTACATCTCTATCACCAAGATTTAAAAAAAAAAAAAATAATATATATATATATATAAGGTGACACTGTTTAAGTTAAAGCTAAACAGAACCTGTTCTGGCCTTAAACTCTTTGTAGCAGGAGCTAGAAAATTCAGTATTTCCAGAGCTCTGAGGTAGCCCCTTGTATACTACACCCAAAGAAGAAAACAAAACACTGGGTTAATTTCCAGCTGCCTTCTACACAATGGGAAAAAGAAATGGCAAATCTGAAGTTGACCTTGGGGAAAAACTGCTGTAAGTGTTATTTTCAAAACTGAAAACATTAGAAGGAAAAAAAAGGGAAGTTATAATTCAGCATTACAGATTTTCACAGACGTACTCATAAAATAAATTGTGTGTGCACACTTAAAAGGAGTTTCTGCCCATTGCAAACAGTCCCAGCATTAACTACAATGAAGAATCAACAACATAGTATATGCATCCAAAATATTACTGGCAGAAGCAGCTGTTATACACAGATGACCACATTTTTCAAACCTCTTAGTTTTGATGTCAACAGGAATCATAAGCTTTATTGAAAAAGTGGGGGTTTTTTACTACAAGATTGAAAATGAATGGCAAAAGCAAAGTAATCACTACTAAATAGCAAAAAACCATTGTGCAAAAGAAGTACAGTAGAACTCACTTTTAAAGAGTTTTATATGCATGACAAACAAAGCCATATGCTTGAAAACAGTGACAGGAAAAGAGCCACCTACATTCAGCCAAACCACTGACCACATGCAGTCAATAATAGGCCCAGCTATTTTCATGCACTAACCTTTTTCTCTGCCACTAAAAACAGTTTTCTAATTCAGTTTAGGTCCAAAATCCCATAAATGTTACGGTTGGCAAAGCTGGCAGAGTTTCAAAGGCATTGCTAGAATGATATGTTTCAAATCTATGAGGAAATAAAAGTATTCTCACTTTATCCTTCATCCAAAAAACACATACTTGCCCAAAACTTCATCCTCTCTACCTTAAATCTTCCAATGCATACCAGATGTAAACACCCACTTTCAACATACAGTGCCATATGTTACAGAAACACCCACTGACCCATGAAGTTAAAAAGTAAACCAAACAAGGTAAAGTGCCATCAGATTAAAGATATAACCCCCAAACTTCCCACCATAGCATTGAAAGCTCATTTGAAGAACATGCTCAGACATTTACTAATGACACTAAATTGGTTTCAATCTCATTAAAGCAAGGAAAACAATAAAGAGGAATAACAAAATATAAACACGCCATAAAGAAGTTTTTCAAGCTTTTAGTTACTAAATATTATTAACCATGTTTTAAAAATCTTGCAACATAAATACTGAAGGATGCCTTGGCTAACAAATACAGTGAAAGACTTACAAATCGCTCTTTTTCTATCACCTCATCAAGCATTAAAACACTTAGGAGAGGTGGAACTTTGGAAATTTCAGGCATACCCAGAAAAGAAAAAAGCTATTCTCAAATAAAAAGAACTGACAGAGAAGGGACTTTTATTCTGAGATTCCTCCCTGCCCCCAAGGATAAGAAGGAGACCAAGCATCATACACCACCGTTAAACCACACTGAGGAATTCCAATTACATTTAAATTAAATTCATAAATGTACAATTTAAAATTTATATTAGCTCTAGAATTAACACTATCAAAATCAACACAGCAGGGCACTGAGCCCTCTTTTGATATCAGAAGCCAGAAAAAAGTCCTCAGTAGCTTTGCTACACCTCTAACTGAGAAAGACCAGAGTCCAAACACGAAGTTCCCATTTGATTCTCTGGACCTAAGTGTTTCAGATGTGTCCATCTGCACGGATTACTGTTTGCACATATAGCTGGGCAATTCCGTGGCTTGGCCATATGGTATAAATGTGTTCATGGCATAGTAGACACAAAGTGGCTGACAGACTGTAAATCCACACACTTCCTTACCTCACAAAAACTTAAATGCAGGCTTATACCCAGAGCCCTGCCTACAGCCTTCTGAAGGTGGTTTCAGTGACACAGATGTACAAATAAATACTTCAGACTGTATTCTAAAACTGCCAGCACTTGAGTAATTAATTGATCTTTTTCATCCTTGATAATATTAAGATTCAGAAGTGATTACTGTGGCTCCAAAACCCAGCCTCTGCATTCATGGTAATAGCTTTCCCAACCACTTGGAAAAGGGGACAGGTTGACTGTCTTGAAACTCTGGGTTTTCAAACTAACAACTGCCCAGTAGGTTTGTTTCTTAACACAAATAGAAAAGAAACATCAGCATACCTTTTTTAAAAAAAAAAAGTGAAACCTTGAAAGAATTTCAGATTTCCATAATTATTTGCCTTCTAACAAAACTGACTGTATTTGTAGAAACATACCCAGCATCAGGAAAAAGAAAAAAAATTGATTCAGGTGGTTTAAATGCCAGTTTTTAAAATTAATTCCCACAGTTTTACATGAAGTTAAAAAAACATCTGGAAGTAAGCAGCCTATACAACATATAGTAATTGCCAAAGGCAATTCAAACTTCCTTAACCTCCTGGGGGTACAGGCCTCACCAGCTGCATAACTCAAAAATAACTGAGAGTTTTCTTTACATTTCAAGAGTAATTCCACCTTTCCCTGTTGGGCCATAACCCCAAATTTCATCCAAAGAGATATGAAACACATACACAATTGGATTTGAGTATATGGAAGGCACAGATTTACTTTAAATCAAATACTATTTGAGTCTTTCCATCTAAGTAAAGGAAAAAAGGGGACAGGAAAGGGCTACAGACCTACCTGCGTGAGAATGCACCTCAAAGCAGGATATTAAGAGAAAGCAGAGAACCTACAAGGAATGGAAAAAGGGACTGATCAGCAAGGAGAGCTGGCACTTATAGGTCAGGCCACAGATGTCAAACGAAAACTGCCAGGAGGCCAGGAAAATGGGAACTTGAAGACAAACAAAAGGTTTCTCAACAAGAAATGAAGAGCTGGTGTCAACAAGGGGTAGAAATTAGAAGGACAGACCAAATATTAAATTAGCTTTTTGCATCATTTTTTCCTGTAAGAGTAATGCTGTGTATGGGGACAGAGACAGAATACCTCATGGGAACAAGGACAAAGCACTGAAAATTACCACATCCATTACTAAAATGAAATGAGGCTGCTTAAAAAATTTCCATCCCAGAATATGGAAAAAATGGGTTATATATCAAAATTGCAAGCTCAGGCATGACGATTTTCAATGAATAAGACATTTTCTGGGATAGCAGCCGAGAGCTGGAGAAGAAATGTAGAACCTGTGTTCACAAAAGCCCTGTTAGCATGAACTCAGCGCTCCTCAGTATCTTATAACCACTGTTCTAAGGGAAAAGAATGACTAAAAGTAACCAATGACCAGAATGTAAATAGAAAGCAGAATAAAAACACAACCCAGATCTTTCCAAATATAAGTCATGCTATACTGGCTTATCTTTCTTGGATGAAATTTCTTGGTTAATGGTAACACATGAGTATCGCATCTCATGGCAAATCATTGGGATGAAGAAAACATTACTAGTGGTGTTGTTCCTGGAGGGTCTACTTTTTTTAGAATTTCCATTTTCTACCTTGGTAAAAAAAAAATACTAGGTTTTCATTTGTTGTTGACACAGCATTTAAAGTACTGCTAATTTAATAGAGAATGAAGTTACTGTACAGGAAGAAGAGCAAGAACTTTTATACTTAAGTTATTGAAATGAAAAATAAC